ATCCTTATCCAATAAGAAATTGGGTTTGAAAACTTTATAAATAGAGTTGGGTATGAAAGAAAATATGTAAAGGGTTTAAGGGTGAGTGTTATAAGGAGATGAGAGGGTATATGTAATTACCGAATGTATACATTTAGCCTAAAAAGAGATGACAAATGAGTGAGTGGGCTTTTGACACGTGATCGTATATTCTCTTTCTTGATTCATTACAATAGAAATCTCTCTCTCTCCATGGACGTAACACTAAAGTTGGGTGAACCATGTAAAATATTATATTGCGCGTAAATGTGTATAATTGTTATCTCGATATATGCTTGTGATAATGTGATGTGGTGATATTTCTAGTGTGTGTAATGAAAGCGAGATTTAACTCTCAACAACAATCGACTGTTTAGTAAGTTGGAGGGAGTTAATTTTCCCCAACATGAACCCCCAATCAATGGAAAACAGATTTTTCACTTTTTGGTCGCTAATCTCTATCACTAAATCAACGTGTTGCGTATAAACTTTGACCCCTCTCCGTTAAGTTCTCTTTCTCCTTTAGGTTAAACTAATATATCATATTCTACTCTACTCAAATTGGGTCTAAGTTTATAAAAAATAAAAAAATAAAAATAAAGTTATAAGTGGGTTGGCCCTCTTGGGCTGTATGGGCTAGATTAAAAAGAAGACAGATTATGTTGCATTCTCCTCCATTCAGATTGAACCTAAGTTTATAAAAAATTAATTAAATAAATAATAAGTTACAACTTACAAGTGGACTTTATTAAAAAAAAAAGTTGTATTTACATGAAGCCCTTCACTAACTGAATAGCAATTCATTATAAATATATATATATATATATATATATATATATATATATATATATACATATGGCTCACAAAAATATTTGAGAACCCTGTGTAAAGGCACCACCCAAGGGCCGACCCTAACTATGAGTGTGGAAGAGGACCCACAAACCCAATTGTAGGATCCGCACCATTCCCACACTCACACTGAATGTCGGTTTTCTTATCCAAAATACTATTTTCTTTTGTAGAAAGGATAAATCAATATATAATGTTAGTGACAGTGTAATTTTTGTTGGAAATTTTTATATATATAAATAATAAAAATTATTTATGGTCCTATGCACTACGTTTTCTAAAATAGGATTGCAATGTGGTTATTGATACTTGATGGATTGGGTTGTACTTTTTAATTTGGTGGTCTAATTGGTAGTGTGGTTTTATACGGTTGGATTGTGGTTTTCCAACTTATTTGGTATGATTTAATTCTAAACATTTATATCTGATTTTTCATGATAGGAATGAAAACTTAGGTATATTTATTTGTACAGAAGCCGCCCCCTGTTGTTGTTATAAATAAAGGTTAAACCCTTATTCAGCACTATCGAAAGACAACTCTCAAAAAGGGGTAAAACACTCTAATGTTTTGCAGGATCACAAAAAATTGTAAGACTATCCTCCAAAATCTAAAGGTATATTTAATTTAATCATCAATCATGTACGTGACTAAGTTCTCTATTTAATTAATTGTAGTATTCTTGATTTTTAAGAGAAAATCTTAACCCTTAATCTGGTTTTGATACCAATTGTTGAGTTTTTATCAAATAATTCACATGTAGAAATCAAGAATACTACAATTAAGTAAATAGAGAATTTAGTCACGTACCTGATTGATAATTAAATTACATATACCTTTAGATTTTGGAGGATTGTCTTACAATTTTTTGTGATCCTGCAAAATATTAGATTGTTTTATCCCCTTCTAAAAGTTGTCATTCGATAGGGTTGAATAAGGGTTTTACCTTTATTTATAACAATAATAGGAAGGACGGCTTTTCTACAAATAAATATACCTAAGTTTCTCATCTCAAGTAAATGTCTTCTTTTTCTTTTCTTTTCTTTTTTTTTTTTTATTCCTTACTGTTGCCCTAAAGAAAATAAATTTAAAATGAAAATAAATAGGGCTATTATATCACCAGGGAACTTTGATCTTTTGATATGTTTTGACCCTATATAAAATGAAAGAAATCAAAACCCAACTTTAAAGTAAGAGAAATGATACAGCTTTCGACCCAATCAATCGACATATCCTCCGAATCCAACGTGGATAGGCCACGTTAGACCCCAAAAACACAGACCTCTTTCTCTCTCCACGATCCTCTCTATTTCTTCCATTGTTCTTCAGTTCTTCATTTCTCCACTTGGTGCCTTCCATCCTAGGGTCCATTCAGTTCCGGTAATGAATAAAGCTCTGGATTGACTTCAATAAAGGAGGAAATTGGACTAATAACTATGATTAAGTGCCTGTAGGCGCCAAAGAAACCTGTCCTAATTCCCCGCGGCGGGTCGCAAACCAGAGAGACAAAGAAGCACACACCGCCTCCTCCCACCGGAAATACATAGAGAGGGTATGAGAAAGAGAAGGATTAGAGATCATGAATATCACTCCAATCATCATCCAATTAAGAATTTCATCTCTCAGTTGCTCAGAGGCGTCGGAAACTTCATCGCTTCAAATCATTCTCGACGACGACACCTCCACAACAGATCCAACCCAGTGACTTTCTTTGCCTTTGCCGTCGACATCTCGGGCCAAGCTGCTTCAAACCTCAAGACCATAATGTCGGTCCCAAGTGACATCTTTTGCCTTTGCCGTCGATATCACGGGCCAAGCCGTCGCCGGATCGGAGCTCTGTCAAGAAAGAGTCGATGGAGAAGCTAGTTATCGCCGATGATCATAGCTTGAGCAAGTTGTTGGAACACTTGCTGATGATAGGCCACGTCAAACTCCAAAAACACAGACCTCTTTCTCTCTCTCTTCGATTCTCTCTGCCTAAAAAAAAACAAAACCCATTTCGAAAAATATGTCGGTAGATTGGGTCAGAAATTGTATCATTATTCTTAAAGTAAGAGAGTAATGTAGTTTTTAGTGTGCCGGAAAGGGCTGAGATTAACCATCAACATATGTGTGTAATCGTCTATATTATTGAATTAATCTCATCCTCCATAATGCGTGTAATAGGATAAAAGTTCAAGTAATAATTTTATTAAAGATGGCCAATTAGTATGAGATTTTAAATCTAACGGCACACAACGCATTGTCACATTACCTGTTTATTAAAATAACATTGTTTTGTAAGATAAAATAACACCACTTTAGGTTCCGTTTATTTAGATATAATTTTTTTTTGAATTATTATTTTTTTGTTATTTGGTTGTAGTAAAATATTTATGAAAAAAAAATTATATTAAAATTTAACGAAAATAACTTATTAATCAATTTTTGTCAAATTATTTTACATACTCTTCTGGATGAACTCAAACCTCAATATTGATTTAGACCTTTACCAAATATTGAAAAAGTAAAAATAAAAAATATTTAACTTCCTAGAAAAAATAGTAAAGTGTGCTCCATGAGAAAAAGTCTGCTCTAGAGAAGTTTTTATCCATATAATTCATATATATGAACACGTCAATTTCCCTTGTTCCCTGGTTTATGCTTGACACTTTCAAACCTTCAAAAAGAAACTTTTAGGTGCTTTTGATTCCGCAAGGAACTTCGAATCACAAGGCCAAATAAGGGATAAATCTTATTATAGAGGAATTTTTTAAAAAATTAAGGTGTACTTGTTAACTTATTTATGTGATCGATCTGTAATTAAATATTTTAATCGTTGATAGATGTCATCCTGATTAACATAGTAAGCGATTAAGTATTAAAAAAAAAAATTTAAAAATACATAAAAACCCTATAATACGAAAATAAATGTAAAATGGTAAATACACCAGATGGTTTAAGAATTAGTGAAGTTGATTTATCAACTAATACTCAACAGATTTGGGGCTTGTTGAATTATATGCTTTCAATTATTCAATGTGTTCCTTTATTTTTATTTTTCTGTTTTTGGACTATGAATATCGGTTCATATGAATAGAAAAATCTATGGGGAGAGCATTTCACATGAACTCACCTCTTCGACAATTGGACTGAGCCCTCACCTTATGCACTCTCGATCCATTAATTGATTTAGAAAGCGATGGAGCTCACCTCGTAGACTTAATCTTATTCATTGAATCCTCATAAAATTTTCATATAAATTTACAGTGTCAGTGCGAGTATTACAACTATTATTGAATATATGATTCTATTTTTGAATTTATACAAGAGTGATACGTACAAAAGTGATGCTTAAAAATAATAAGAGTAATTTGGTCTAATTCCATTTAAATAATAAGGGTAATTTGGTTTAACTCCATTTTATCAGAACATAATTATTACATAAATAAAATTTCAAAACTCTATGTTTAAACTTTAAACTATCCCAACAGTTTTTTATTTGGAGTTTTAGCAAATATTGACTGCAAAGAGTCAAAGCAACGTGACAGTAGTCTGTATGAATCATTTAGGTGCATTTTAGCTAGTTGAGTTCTACTTCCAAATTTTCAAGAAGAAATTAAGTCTATGATTTGGTTAAAACTTTATTTTATTAATTTTATGACCCCAGTGAGTGACGGACCTCACCCTTTCAAAAACTTACTGCTTAAACCTAGCTTGTAGAAAATTGAAACTTGGTAAGGACTTTCATGACATGCAGTTCTATACTGCTATCTGATCCATCTTTCCAAATAGTCTAGTAGTAGCATTGTATATATATACACATGTATCCATATAAACCGTAATCATTTGCATCTTCGATGAAATTATAGATGAGATTGACCTCATGTTGGTTTGTGACAATTACAATCATCATTTTCTTTAAATTAATTGCGAGAGAGAGAGCTTGGAGAAGCTAGAGTTCACAAACTCATGCAGCGATTAGTATATTGAAAGAGAAACATTTGCAACAAAAAAAAAAAGGAGGACTTCTTCAACCCACTTATTTATGCTATATAGATTAGGATTCTGAGCAGATGATACATCTGTTTATTTTTGGCAGACAAACCATTTGGTGGGTTCGATTTGGTTGGTACAGAAATGCACACATTTTTTTCTAATTGTAATACCAGAACTGGGATTGAAGATAGTCAATAACGTTCTTGTCCAGTCGGAATGCCTTGATTAGAACATCCGGAGAAATGGGTGGTTTCGATCCAAAGACCGCGTTTGCAATGGTGATGACTCCCGGGTTTTGGCTGCTCAGGGCGGCCAAAGCTACTGCATTAGTCTTTCCAACATTGAGTTGGAAGTGAATGAGACCAATTGGGAACACAAAAACATCACCAGGATTCAAGACCTTAGTGAAGAGAGTGTTGTTAGGATTGGAGGTGACGAACCCAACGTAGATGGTACCTTCTAAGACAACAAAGATTTCAGATCCGCGTGGGTGCGTGTGGGGTGGGTTTAGGCCATATACTCCGAAGTCAATTCGGGCTGCGGATATGCCAAGAGTGTTGAGTCCTGCTATTTGATCAACAGTTACTGGAGTCACTGCTGACCCAACTGGATTCGATGTGTTTTTAGCAATTTGCAACCCTGGAAAGAAGAAATCATTGGCTGTGGCCAGGTTCGGGTTCTTGCAAAACTTTCCATTCACGAACACTGCACAACCAAAGTAAAAATAAACGTTATCAATTCCTCTAATGGAGCTGGGTTATGATTGAAACACACATAACCCAACTCCATTAGAATATAGAAGATGCCAACTGGAAAATAACGAAATGAAAACCAATGTGGACTACTATACCCTTTCACAAAGAAAAACAGAGCATGCATGCATGTGAAAAGCAAAAACAAATTAAGACTAATTAATTAGGTCTAATGAGATGATGCATATATGTATATCATACCAGCTGAATTGGGGTCATTAATAGCAACACAAAAGTCCTGAAGAGGGTCGGGGTCGGAGGCATATGCTAGTGAGAATGCAAAAGCCAAGATAGCTGCGGCCAGAAGGAAGTGATTGCCCATTTTCAACTTCTTTGTAGGGTTGCTTGGATAAGGCTCATAAATCTATCATGGGGGAGGTGACTATTTATAGATAGAGGGTCCTCAGTTAGTTATTAAGATTTTTTGTTTACTTTATTATTATTATTATTATTATTTTATCTGGGAAAATAAGTTTGTTACAAAGTTATCCAATAGCAACATTTTTCATAGGTTAAAACATTTTTTTTTAATCTCAAGGTGTAGTCATTTTTTTTAGGTTAGCTTTTTTTTAATCTCAGGTCTACTCATTCTTTAACAACTATCACCCACCTACCATTTATTTTTCCTAATCTTGCATCAGCGGGTTTTATCTCCAAAACTATGACTATTTCAATGTATTGAAGTGGTCTTTTTTTTTTTTTTTTTTTATTTTCAAGATCAAGTCATTTTTCATAGGTTATCTTTTTTTAATTTCAGGTTTTTTTTTTACATATATTGTTTCTGCTTCTTTTTTTCAAGATTTATGTTTGGAACGTAATTGATAGCCAAAACTTTAATCTACTTATATTTTTTTAACACGTCCACTTTTGAGTTTTGTATATCAATTATAATTAATTGGTTAAATTGAAATTTGAGGTTGTAGCTTTTGGTTTTGATTACCATATATTAATAATCATGATTTTAATTAATTAAGTTTGACAAATAGTCAATTAAACGTCTTTAAATCATTTTTCATATATTGTTCAAGTCAATGCTCAAATAAAATTCTTTCAAAAGAACAGAAAGGCTCTAGGAATATGCTGATTGCGAGTTTTTAATAATCGAACTCAGACAATTTTGTTATGTGAAAACCATTGTAGCTGAAAGTATATAACCAATCCACTTACTTTAGTGCACAATAGGATATAGCTTATTTTAGTAAAACAACCATTTAGTGGGTACATAAATAACATATTCCACCAACTCAATGCATTTTAAACAAATATATATATATATATATATATATACACACACACACGTGATGCAACATGGTATCATGTAAATTACCGAAAAAAAATGGTATCATATTTTATATTCTATCGTAATGCTTTTACATTTTCAAAGTTATTAATTTGCATTTTACATAAAATTCTCGAAAGTACTTTCTTTTGCTCACCATAGAGGAATTAATGGTATGTTAATTAATGGTATGTTATTAAAATAATAATAATGATGAACTAATAATCCAGGGCAAGACTCCGGCATTCTCTCATCATTGTGTCAAAATGTCAATTGTATACGCAAATTACATTAGACAAATTTTACCATTGTGTTAAAACATGCCCTCCTGCTATATAAGAAGAATACATAAATTATCAAACGGCTCCTTAGTTATCATTTATCAATACATATTTTGTAACTACACAAAACGAACACTGACTATTGCTCCTGAAAAAAAGAAAAAAAAGTTGCAGCCGCCTCCTTCTGCCCCCATTTATTTAATTATTTTTATTTTGGAAGACGATATTCGCACCCTATTCTTCTCCAACTGCACTACATTTACTCTTTTCATTTAAAAAATTTTTTCTCCAATTGCACTACATTTACTTTTTTTTCTGTTAAAAGAAGTGACAAGAAGGTCCTTGAATATATTATTGCACTATCCCTTAACTTAGGACGAATTGCAAAAAATCCTATTACTCATTTGCAAGAAATCTCCATTGTGCAAAAAAACCTCTTTAACTTACTTCTGTTTAACAATATGGTGACGCAATTTTTTTTTTTTTTTTTTTTTGACTAAATTACCCTTACATCTGGTTCTAGGCCGTCGTTCACAGCCGGTGATCTTCAACCTGGCCAGCCGTGCGTATTTCAGATTCCAATCGTTGTTGTTATTAGGGTTTCGTTTTAAAATTCCAATGCAAAACCTCGCCGACTTCAATTTTTGGTTCAACTTTGTAGATCCATTGGGTTATATATATATATATATATATATATATATATGTGTGTGTGTGTGTTCATACATATACATAGCAGAGATGATCAGTTTTTCCAATCGCCCCCTCACCATTCGATTCGATGACGCGATTCCGAAGGGAAAGAGTCCAATATTTCATCAGATTTCAGCGAGTCTCCGGGCAGTAAGTAGGATTAGCACGAAGACTCATTGATCAACCAGCTCTTCAAATCAAAAAGCCCAGCTAACCCATATTGAGTTCCATATTTGTTATGGGAACCTTTGCTTTCCTTGTTTTAAGGTCCAACGAAACCAATGAAATGATCAAAGGTTCCATGCGAACGACGTTGGCACGAGGTTTTCTTTCGGCAATTTGTCGTTCCTCACTCCCAATGGCTTTTCGCGCCGTTGGACTTAGAGCCGCTAGTGATACTGACGACGGTGGCAGCCCTGGTGGGGTAGATGAGTGCTTCGTGGTGTATATGTGTGTGTGTATATATACATATAGGTTTCAATCAGTTCCTTTTTCATGGATAAAGCAAAGGATTCTTTGATTCTACATTTAATGCCCAAAATATATTGAGTTCCTGCTTTGTGTTATACAATATATGTGTGTTTTTCTGTACTTTAAATTTTCACAGTTCTTGTTCAGTTTGGATTTATATTATATGGGTTTAGTGAACTATGATATTTATATATATATATATATGATAGATCGATAGATAGAGGTCTATATATATGGGTCCTGTATTTTTTTTTTGCGTGGAAGGTTTAAAGGGATTATTTTTTATTTTTATTTATTTTCTTCCTCACGTGGTGAAAACCCAACTGAAGCTACTAACCAGATGTAAGGATAATTTGGTCAAAAAAATTACCTTACAAGATTGTTAAACGGAAATAAGTTAAATCACCCCCTCTTCATAGTTGAGGGGGTTTCTTCATAGTTTTTTTTTTTTTTTTAAACAATTCGTCCCTTAATTTATAATGTCATAACTATCATTTATACAACTTTAATATTTTTTTTACCTTCTTTACTTTAAAGAAAATAATTTATTTTATACTAATAATTTAATATTTATTTTTTTTGTACAATTGAAAGGGATATTATTTAACAAAGTTAATTTTTTTTTTTTAGTCAAAAGAGGTAATTTTTTTTTTTTTTTTTGGATAATTTTTTATGGTCCTGTCAAAAGAATTAATTTATTAGATAAAAATAACCTTTTTTTGTAATTTATTCAATTTAGATAAAAATAATAATAATAATCATCATCTTCTTTTCATACTTTTCTTTTTCTTTTGGGGATGTTGACAAAAAAAAAAAACCTTCAATAAAAAAAAAAATTCCGGATTTTTTTTCCAGGTCAAAAGAGATAATTTTTGTAATGATCACTTTTTTTTTTTTTTTGGTTCGATCAAAAGAGTCAATTTATTCAACATAAATTTTTATTTATTGATCCCGTAAAAAAAAATTATTAAATTATTCAATTAATTTTTTGTCTTATCAAAAGAGATCTAAAATAATAAAGATTAGAGATAAAGAGAGAAAATTTAAAAGAATAATTTTGTCATTTAAAAAATAATAATTATTTACTTATAAAGTTAGAGTTAGAATTGTCATTTTTATTTAAAATTGTAGTGCAAATGTTAAAAATTGGAGTGCAAATATCGCCTCCCTTTTATCTTTCCTTTTATTATACTCCTAGACAAAGGTCATGAAAAGAGGTATGATGTTGCTCTCATCTCATTAATCAATAATTTCCATTGTAATATATATATATATATATATATATATATATATATATGTTATTATTCCATTTATAAATATTATCATATGGACTTATTATTAAAAAATTAAGCAGGTTCCATCGAGGAGGGATTAGAAAATTTTGCCACATAAAATTCACCAAATATGGGTTGTGTTGAATTATTTTACACATTCCTAACAAGTCTAAACTGGGCAAACCAATAATTTATTGAGAGATTCATAAATGCACCATTATATCATTTATAGGTAAGTAGAGTTTGATTTTTTCATAAGCATGCACTTTGATTTATTGTCAATGCGACTGATTCCTTTGATTAGATTGGAACTCAATATTTTATATTATCGATTTTGTGAATTTTATTTATTTATTTATTTATTTTATAACAAAATTCAGTACTTACTTGGTTATTAGTATCAATAGGTCAGAATTATTAGTCCAGTTGATAAACTTTGATATAATTTCTTTACGGGATTCAATTACTTACGTCCTCCTCATAGGAGAGATAGGAGTTTAACTCACATACATACCCTCACGCGCATTTTTGTTCACACCCAACCTTAAACACCTCCCCTCCTCTTTAAAGATAAAAATATTATACCATTGAGTTATATATTGACTAATACCATCTGATCACCCGCATTACATATATATATATATATATGTAAATATTTAAGCTTAGACTTGAGAGTAATGCGGGTGATCAGATGGTATTAGTGAATATATAACTCAATGGTATAATATTTTTATCTTTAAAGAGGATATATATATATATATGGGATAACTACAAAACATATACTTTTCATAACACTTTTACTTCCTATTTAAAAATGTGTGCAAACAACATCCATATTCTTTTCAATTTATACAAAAACACCTCTCAATTAATGTAATACCTATTTTACCTTTTTACTCTTACAAAGATACCCCCATCAAACCTTACTTCTTATTACCCGTCGCTGCCACCGTTGCTTCTTTCCTCTTCCATCACGTTACACTTCCTCTTCCATCACATATACGGTACACACATATACATCACACTGCCTCGTCGCCGAAGATAGCTCTGTAAACAAAAAACCCATTTTGGTGACAGGCCCAGAAAATTTGCAACGAGATGAATTGCGACAGACTCTAATGAATCGACAAGCACTACAGTGAGCAAAGATGAAAATGTCGACACTAAAATCAGGAACAGTTTCTAGAATTGCAGAGATAGAGGTTTGTTATTAAATCCCCTAAAGAAGACAGAGAGATGAGTATCAAAGAGACCACTTCTTTCCTCCCAGTTGTACTTGTACCTGAAATTCTAAACCTAATATACCAGTTGATGAAAATTTATTGAGGATGGTGAATATTGAAGCACCTAAATGGTTTCCACTATTTCAAAATTTGACTATTTCGAAATCCAGCTATGTAAAACGTCACCATCAGTAATCATGTGCACGAATTCTTTACAGAAGCCAATTTAGACTGGTTAATGATATATATATATATATATACATTACCATTTTTTCATTCTTTGACAAGATGAATCAAATGAATTAAATTATAAAAGTTACAATCATGCTCTCAATCTCAAACAATTACAGGCATGATTAGATTTGTTATTCGTCGAGTAGTTCACCAAAATGGGTTATTTATTTATTTTGCAAAGCTATCTTCGGCGACGGGGCGGTTGTTTCTTAAAGGTGAGGGATGAAGGAGGGACGGTGAAGGAGGAGTCCACCAAAGAGCCTCGTACGGCAACACAATTCCTCACTTCACTAATTCGTACGCTGCCA